AAAATGAGTATGGTTTGGGGGGGGTGAAAAAAATGGGTATGGTTTGGGGGGGGTGAAAAAAATGGGTATGGTTTTGGGGGTGTGAAAAAAATGGGTATGGTTTGGGGGGGGGGGTGAAAAAATGGGTATGGTTTGGGGGGGTGAAAAAATGGGTATGGTTTGGGGGGGGTGAAAAAATGGGTATGGTGGGTAGGGGGGTGGGGGGTGGTTAGGTTTTTAAAGAAAAGGGAGTGTGGGGGGGAGAGGTGGTGGTGGGGTAGGGAGAGGAAGGGGGAAGGGGGAGGTGTGTGTGTGTGTGTGTGTGTGTGTGTGTGTGTGTGTGTGTGTGTGTGTGTGTGTGTGTGTGTGTGTGTGTGTGTGTGTGTGTGTGTGTGTGTGTGTTGTGTGTGTGTGTGTGTGTGGATGGGTGGGTAGGGGTGTGGGTGGGTGGAAAGATGGGTGGGTAAGTGGGTAAATACGTAGGTAAATAGGTAGGCAGATAGACAGAGGAATAGACAGTTACATAAACTGATAGACAGATAAACAGATAGATAAATAAACACATAGACTAACTGATTCATAGATAAACAGATATATAGAAATTGATAAACAGATAAACAAATAAATAAATTGATAGGTAGATAAACAAATAGATAAACCGATAGACACAGTAACAAATAGATAAGACAGGATTTATTTCACAGCTCCTCAAAATCCCTCACAGCCTCAAAAAAAAAAAAAAACATTTGCGCATCACCCTCCGCCAATCTTATGCCTTCCTCCCTCCTTCCTTCCTTGCCTCCTTCCTTCCCTGCCTCCTTCCTTCCCTGCCTCCTTCCTTCCCTGCCTCCTTCCTTCCCTGCCTCCTTCCTTCCTTGCCTCCTTCCTTCCCTGCCTCCTTCCTTCCTTGCCTCCTTCCTTCCCTGCCTCCTTCCTTCCTTGCCTCCTTCCTTCCCTGCCTCCTTCCTTCCTTGCCTCCTTCCTTCCCTGCCTCCTTCCTTCCTTGCCTCCTTCCTTCCCTGCCTCCTTCCTTCCCTTGCCTCCTTCCTTCCCTTCCCTCCTTCCTTCCTTCCTCCTTCCTTCCCTGCCTCCTTCCTTCCCTGCCTCCTTCCTTCCCTGCCTCCTTCCTTCCCTGCCTCCTTCCTTCCCTGCCTCCTTCCTTCCTTGCCTCCTTCCTTCCTTGCCTCCTTCCTTCCCTGCCTCCTTCCTTCCTTGCCTCCTTCCTTCCCTGCCTCCTTCCTTCCCTGCCTCCTTCCTTCCCTGCCTCCTTCCTTCCTGCCTCCTTCCTTCCCTGCCTCCTTCCTTCCCTGCCTCCTTCCTTCCCTGCCTCCTTCCTTCCCTGCCTCCTTCCTTCCTTGCCTCCTTCCTTCCCTGCCTCCTTCCTTCCCTGCCTCCTTCCTTCCCTGCCTCCTTCCTTCCCTGCCTCCTTCCTTCCCTGCCTCCTTCCTTCCCTGCCTCCTTCCTTCCCTGCCTCCTTCCTTCCCTTCCTCCTTCCTTCCCTGCCTCCTTCCTTCCTTCCCTGCCTCCTTCCTTCCTGCCTCCTTCCTTCCCTTCCTCCTTCCTTCCCTGCCTCCTTCCTTCCCTGCCTCCTTCCTTCCCTTCCTCCTTCCTTCCCTGCCTCCTTCCTTCCCTGCCTCCTTCCTTCCCTGCCTCCTTCCTTCCTCCCTCCTTCCTTCCCTGCCTCCTTCCTTCCCTGCCTCCTTCCTTCCCTCCCTCCTTCCTTCCCTTCCTCCTTCCTTCCCTGCCTCCTTCCTTCCCTCCCTCCTTCCTTCCCTTCCTCCTTCCTTCCCTGCCTCCTTCCTTCCCTGCCTCCTTCCTTCCCTGCCTCCTTCCTTCCTCCCTCCTTCCTTCCTCCCTCCTTCCTTCCCTGCCTCCTTCCTTCCCTGCCTCCTTCCTTCCCTTCCTCCTTCCTTCCCTGCCTCCTTCCTTCCCTGCCTCCTTCCTTCCCTTCCTCCTTCTTCCCTGCCTCTTCCTTCCCTGACTCCATTCCTTTCCTTGAATCATTCATTCTGCTCCTTCCTTCCTTGCCTCCTTCCTCCTCCATCCTTACCTCCTTGCCTCCTTCCTTCCACTGCTCCTTCCATTCCCTGCCTCCTTCCTTCCCTGCTCCTTCCTCCCTCCCTCCTTCCTTCCTGCCTCCTTCCTTCCTGCTCCTTCCTGTCCTGCCTCCTTCCTTCCCTGCCTCCTTAGCTTCTCTTCCTCCTTCTTCCTTCCTCCTTCTTCCTTGCCTCCTTCCTTTCTGCCTCCTTCCTTCCCTGCTCCTTCCTTCCATGCCTCCTTCCTTCCCTGCCTCCTTCCTTCGCCTGCCTCCTTCTTCCTTGCTCCTTCTTCCAAAAACTTTCCTCCTCCTTCCTTGCCTCCTTCCTTCCCTGCCTCCTTCCTTCCTTGCTTTCACCCACCTCTTGCATGCATCTCCTCCAGAAGGAAATCGAAGTCCTGAAGATCGCCGAAGACAGGGTCGATGTCGGTGAAGTTGGAGATGTCATAGCCGAAGTCAGCCATGGGCGAGGTGAAGACAGGGCTAAGCCACACGGCGCCCACGCCCAGATCGCGAAGATAGTCTGCCTTCGACGCTATGCCTGTTTGGTGGGGAAATTTGAATGTTATTTTACTAATGTTCTTGTTGTATGTTTTTTTTTTCTAAGTTATTATCCTTATTCTTGCTCTTTTTATTATTTTTTTCTCTTATGGTGTCGTTCTAATCATTATTCTTGTAAATATTTTACGATATTTATTAATAATGATAAGGATATTTGACTGCATGATATTTCTGTGCATCTTTTACAGAACGAGAGTCAATAGTGTTTATTAGGGAGATCCTGTGAAATCTTAGGATGATAGGTAGGCCGCATTTTTTTTTTCTTTGTTGGTCTTTCTCTCTATCTCTCTGTCTATCTATCTATCTGTCTATCTATCTATATGTCTGTTTATCTATCTGTCTATTTATGTATATGTCTATCTATCTATCTATCTGTCTATCTATCTATAGGTCTGTCTATCTCTATCTCTATCTTAATTTGTCTGTTTGTTAATCTCTCCCTCTCTCTCTCTTTTTCTCTCTTTATATATATATATATATATATATATATATATATATATATATATATATATATATATATATATATATATATAACACACACACACACACACACACACACACACACACACACACACACATATATATATATATATATATATATATATATATATATATATATATATATGTATGTATATATATACATATATATATATATATATATATATATATATATATATATATATATATATATATATATATATGTGTGTGTGTGTGTGTGTGTGTGTGTGTGTGTGTGTGTGTGTGTGTGTGTGTGTGTGTGTGTGTGTGTGCACATACTTATACAAATACACACACACATAATATTTACGTTATCAATAGTATTACCATTAATATAATTATCTATAATTATTGTTATTATTATTATTTTAGGGGTCGTTCACAATTGTCAACATTTTCACGGGCGTACAAACCGTACGCTAGGGGGGAGGGGGTCTGAGGTCCGCGTACGCTTTTTGAAAACATAAAAATGTCGATTTCTTTTATTTCTGAATTTGGTGGATTTTGGCTTTTTTGCTCAAGTTTTACCACGTTTTACTTTGGCTTTTTTTTAACTAGTTGCTTGGCGATATTATTTGTACTGTAGAGTGTATTATTTCTTGAATATAGTTCTTCTGAGAAATCAACATTTTATTTTGTACACTTTTGGGAGGGGGGGGAGGGGGTCCTGAAAAAGTGTACGTTTTGTACGCTCGTGAAAATGTTGACAATTGTGAACGACCCCTTAATAATGTTTATTATTCGTATTATTCTCTCTACTATTATTATCATTAATATTATTAATGTCATTATTATCATTATCATTATCATTATCATAATTTTTACTATTATTATCATTATTATTATCATTATTACTATTATCATAATTATTATTAATATTATTATTACTATCATTATTATCATTATTACTATCATTATCATTATTATTACTTTTATTGTTATTATTGCTATCATCATCATCACCAATATACTATCATTATTATCATCATTATTATTAGCATAATCATTATTATAATTAGTAGTATTACTATTATTATTACTAATGAATTTGAACTATTACTAATGACAAATAATTGATATAGAAAATGATAAATAAATAATAATGAAAACAAAAGATAAAGTATACGAATAGATAAAAAATGGGAACGAAAAGATGTAACAAACATGAAACAAAAGAGCATCGCCAAAAACGGAATAAAAAGGAATCGAAACCGCTTCGCTTGGGATCGAGATTCACTCACCTAGAAGGTCTCCAACGCCGGATCCTGTGGAGTCCATGAAGGATCTTGGGTAAACCTGATACACGATGGATGTCTTCCACCACGGCAGTTCTTCCAGATCCTCTTCTTCTTCTTCTTCTTCTTCCTTTGTCATTTCTTCTTGTTCTTGTTGTTGTTCTTCTTCTTCTTTTGTCATTTCTTCTTGTTCTTGTTGTTGTTGTTGTTCTTCTTCTTTTTCTTCCTCTTCTTTTGTCATTTTTTCTTCTTCTACTTCTTCTCCTTCTTCTTCTTCTTCTTTTGTCATTTCTTCTTCTTCTTTTTCTTCTTCTTCCTTGCTATTGGCTTCTTCCTCGTCTACTGGTTCGTTCGTCGTTTCTTCGCTTTGTGTTTCCTCTGACTCGTCCTCTTCTTCTTCGTCTTCTATCCTTTCGTCTCCCTTCTCATTCTCCATTACCTCTCCTCCCCCCATCTCCATCTCCTCGCCTCCTTCCTCCTTCCCCGCCATCGCCTCCCCCCCCTCCTCCCCCTTCGTCCCTTCGCCCTGGATCTCCGTCAGGAAAGACCCCAGAGGGTTTCCCAGGTTCCCCCCGAAGACGTTGACCTGGACGATG